CAAAATGTTCCCTAAAGAGAGGAGAATAAGCATGTTTTTATGTATACTCATTTTTTACAAAATTAGGTTCCCTGTCTTCAAAGTCTGGCTGGAAGCCGTCTCCCAGGAACTTTAGGGTATGTAAGCATATTTAGATACCATTCTGATGGCACAGCACCGAGAAAAGAAAAAAAAACACTTGAAAATCATTTTTCAGGTCATCGTGGTATACAAATAAGAAATGTGATTTTTAGTCGCCCCCCCCCCTTCGCGAGACAACTGTGCGTCAGATTTTATTCCGTCCAACAGATGTCTGATACAGTTATCTCGGTGCTTTAATAAAACTTGACAAACCCATACAACAAAACAGTCCGGAACTCCAGCACTTAACCCCTTCTCCTTCTGTTGCCATGCGCTTGCTTGGAGGTATATCTATATTACCTGCAAAAGTTAAGCCCTATTTTAAGGCTTTATAGGTACGATATATTCATAATATTTTTAAAACTGTGCATCGTTGAGATTAAACCAAGACAAGCGGCTGTTTCGTCGGTAACACCCAAAGACATAAAGACGGAGCGCTCGTATCTAAAAGCATGGGGAAAAAGTGAAGCTAGGTTCGGCGCTGCGCGCTTGTGTGAGTGTGTAAATGAGCGCGGGAATCCATGGCGGCAAACGGAAATTTGATTTGAACTTGTCCTCTTGATTTTTGCACATTTCTTCTTCGAAACGTATTTTAAATTCCTAAAACGAATATACTAAGAAAGTTCGGTCTGCGTCCTAACATAATACACCTACTTTTGTTCGGTAACAGGCAGTAATCTCAGATAAAGTTAGTTTTTCTTCTGCTCATGGTGGTTCTGCAGGTTCAAACAGGCCGTTACAGTTCTAGATCAACGTTACTCCCAAATGAAATTAATCGGTCGACGACGGACTGAAACTAACCTAAAGTTAAAAAAATATGAGTGTGTACCTGAATTTGGGCAAAAATCAACCTAAAATACTTTGTTTCCGCAATTTTATTTATTAGTTCCCGCCCTACATTTGAATTCAAACTTGTCCCGATTTCGCCGCCAATCCTCTAGCCAATAGTAGAGGTGATTGAAAAGAAGCTCTAGAAGCTTCATTTTTTGCTTTTAGTGCTCCGTCTTTATGTCTTTGGTAACACCGTACTGCGCTGCCGCGCGCGTCCCGGGCAGGCAGCGTAGCGCGCGGATCTGCCTCAGAACGGCCAGCTCCCCGTCCCCCCATGGTTTTTCCCGTTTCACGCCTTAAGTATTGATCCCACAGAAAAATTCATAAGAATCATTTTTGCTCCTAATAAAATTTCCCATCGTCCTATAGTGGAAAAATTACGCTAACATTAGCCGTTCAGTAGTTATTCAAAATTCAAAATTTAGGGGCCCCCCTGCCCCCCCAGGGGACTCAGATTTTTGGGGTCTATGTCTAAATCGAATGTCTATAGGGTAGAGATGAATCCCTGAAATTTTCATGTTTTCTTCCAGAAGTGCACGATTGTTACGCTTATCGGCCCCACTACGAAGGAAAATACACTATTGCGTTCTCCCTCATGGTGGGACCTGGACCTGGGACCATGTAAAGAGCACCGATCTCGAGTCGTACATCACGAATATATATGTCATTCATTTTCTGTCATATATGTATATATATCAGCCAGCGTGAGGATTTTTCAGTTTTCAGAGCTTTGAGCGGCAATTAATTTTTAAGTTTCTTGAAATGAAACTTCTGGGGTTTATAGTCCCCTAAGAGTACTTTTAAAATGTGAAGAAAAAATCGGAATACGTTAATTACTTTCCGCACATCGAGGGGTCAAAGTGAGGGGAGGTTTAATTTTGTCCACGCGATAACTGGAGTAAAGATGAACATTTTCAGCTGAAGTTTTGATGGTAGTTAGAGATCTACTAAGACCGGTTTCCTATTGAATTTCAGCAAAATCGGCCAACGTGTTCCATAATGGTGGCAATTTACCGTTTTTACAGGTGGGGGGGGGAGGAGTTGCGCTAAATCTCGAATAAAAATGATATTTTGAGCTGAAATTTAAATGGTAGTTAGAGGCCCACTAAGTCTGGTTTCCTGCACTTGGCACTTTAGGGTCAAGTAGGATCTATATTTTTGAATCTACATTTACGTCAAGTAGATATATGAATTTGGTTTTCAATGTGGGATGGAGGAGAGAAAATAATGGAGGAGGCAGTTTTGCATGTTACTTTAAATACTTGAACTCAGGTGCAAGAGGATACCTTATGCAGCAATTCCTTGCTGTTGAACCCAGCCTAGCCAAACACGATTATCAGAAGAGAATGATAGTTCCTCTTGGAGGTGTGTGGCTCAAGTTCAAAATCAAAGGTGCTTTGCGCTTCAAGTATTTTGAAGAGGAAAAATTTTTCAACAAAGCAGAAGATATTAATGGAGGATGCTCAGTGATAATTGATGCGAAACACAAATTATTTACCAATTTAACTTTGTACACGGAAAGAAAAAAACGAAGTTTAAAGTCTCCTCAAAATAGTTGGTGCTTTATGAAGCAAGTACTTATGAGGTTTCCTTTCTGAAATGAGGTTTTGAAGGCACCTATTGAGAGGGAACGAATAGAAGTCTAGCTTTTTTGCTAGATATGCCGAGAAGGGCCCTTTTATTTGAAGAATATAATGAGAATCATTCAGATCAGAGATATCCTGTAGATGTGCACTGTGCAGAGAAAAGAAAACAACACTAAAAATGTGGTTCGAGTACTGCAAGTAACAGGATAGTGAAATAGTTCTCGACGCACAATATTCTACAGGGTAATCAACCCAAAAAATCTAGAAATTAGCATTAGAGTCATAATATGTGAGGAAGTATATGTTCGATTTTGAAACAATAAAAATCTCCCGACTTTCAGTATAGGTTCCAGACTTCTCACAACACAATTTTTACAATTTCCCCTCCCCCACTGAAGATTTCGGGTGGGTGCAGTTCAATCATGGGCCAAACGTGTAGACTGCACAGGTCATCTAAGGGGAAAATGAAGAGACGGTTTAAGGGAGTATGGGGCGTTGGAGCAAAGTAAAACGGAGGTGATATACATGTAAAAATCAAAGAACTGAATAGATAAACCTGTTGCTTGGGAGCAATAGAATACTCCAAATAAAATTTAAGACTAAAGGAACTTAGATCAGGCATATGGGATGATTGATGACAGACTAAAGAAAAAAATAAATAAAATGATAAGAAACAAACGTATAGATAACCTCCAAGTACAAAATCAAAATGGTTAAAAAAACATGATAAATTATTAGGTAAACTATAAGATCAAAAGTTTACTTTCAGATAGTAGGCAAGGAAGAAAGTGAGCGAAGCCAATTACCGTTATTAAAGTACAATGTGTACCTACACACCTACACAGTGATTCTAGTAACATTGTTACAATAATTATAGTTACATGTGAAAGTACTTTCAACTTTTTTCAGCAACTTACAAAGTTCAAATTTATTTTCCTGATAATTCTAAAAGATCTTAGTGTAATGTTTTTCTCTGAAAGATAAAAAAAAAAAAATTGCGTTCTCATACCCTTTCGTTTGCTATGATTGGAATTCTTAAATGAGCTCCTTACACATGTTTTGCAATATTCTCACGATACACTACCCTAAGTATTTTGACAAGGTGGAATTTTCATTGAAAGAAAATATACTTTCGGCAGAGAGAAAGAAACAAAATGTTATTCTGTAACTTAAAAGCATCATACAGATGCATAAATTGAGCCTTGCTTCGGTAGACAATTCCAACTGCCTTGACAATGCAGGGATAATCTCAGTTTGGGCCATGGAAGTGGCCGCTCTCACACTCTTATCTACCAGCTACCCCTCTCATGATACTTTTCAACTGATTTTTTTTGAAAAGAAAAGGGCAACCTCATCAGATTTGAAAATAGATTTTGGTCCTGACTTTTGTCTGACGGCGTTGAACTGCAAACTTTTGATCACTAGCCCCTGAGCAGTTTTTGTATTAGTCTTACATGATTCAATTTTCAAAGATCCGTTCGTTTAAGGGAAGAAAAACTACCGCAAAGAGAATAGAATTACAGTATTTTTAAAACAAAATTCTAATGTCAAAGCGACAAATTAAATTGATCTAATCATGCTTTAACTGCCTATTTTGAGACCTTCCTGCTCCGATTTAACCTTTGAACACTAAAAATGGAAAGCCTGTCTGGTGGATGGTAATGGTCCTCTTTACTCTGTGATGTGGCCATTCATGATGAAAAAGCTATAGAAAATCTATTGATACAGACTTCTGATTCTTATTTTGTTCGGACCGTTCAGTAAATCTATAATTTTTATTAATTATTTTTTACAGCAGATCAGAGTGAATTATAGGACAAATTTAAATTGTGGTAGATGAAATTGGAACCCAACACAAATACCTACACTATTAGCTAATCCTGAACAGTTACCACTTTGACTTTGTAATTGAACAAATTCTTTACATGATTAATCATTGCTGGGGCTTGGAATAACTTAATGGTAAAAGGAGATTCTTAAATTACTCAAGTCATTTTGATAGATTTAGAAGGAGAAGGGAAAAGGATAACAGTGTTTCTTCATCCGTCGATTTTCATTTTTAATCTTGACATTCGGGTAACATTATGTAGATCTAAAAAATGAAGGCATTTCTTACAGAGCAAACAAAAAAAAAAAAAAAAAAAAAAAAAAAAAAAAAAAAAAAAACAGAGAAACCACTTCTTTTCATTGAGAGATTTGTTAATATTAACTAGCAAAGGAGACTTAGAGAGTTAGTGGGGATGAATTCAGGCAAAAATTATAAGTGTATTATCAGAAATTAAAATCAGCAAAATCAAAACTAGGTGTAACAAAAAAAATGAGAGTAGGAATAGACGAGTAAAATTATACTAGAATTTAATTAAGGACTGAGGGAAGGAGGGGGGGGGGAGAAAAAAAACTGAAAATAAACAAAACAAACGAAAAATAAAACTGGATTCTCAACTTTTCCGAAATAAAACTTACCATTTGCATTCTTAGTCTTTAAAATTACTTTAGCTGTCATCAACCAATGGAGAGAAAGAGGGCGGGACCAAGGCATAGCGAAAGAATGAGAGAATTAAAAGAAAGATAAACAAATGGCGGAAAATGCAAGTATAAAAGTTATTCATCAATAAACAAAGAAAATTATTGTTAAAACAAATAAATTTAGACGGATCACTATATTGAATGATACTATCTGAGTTTTAGGAGTATGTATCATATGTTAAATTTTGATTTAAAGCTCTACAAAGAGCTGACTGTTTATTGACTGTTCATCACAGCTGTATGTGTTCGAAACAAAAAGATATTAAGACTGGGCCAAGATCAGATATTCTCAAAAGTAGACAAACTTGAAAACCTACCAACAAAGATCTCTAGAGAATAAAGGTTGAAAAGTTGCAGATGCTGACAGTTGAGCCAGTGAGCAGCAATTTTAAACAAGAATACTAATGTAAATATATTTCAAGAGAACTGTAGCATGCCCTGGCACCATGATTCCCGAAGGAAGAGACATAAATGTAATATCGATTCTCATTTAAACTTGGGAGCCTGAATTGGCTTGAACTCTTGCAGGGATATTAGTCGTAATACAAATAATACCATACCCTACCATGAAGGGTAGAAACCTGTAGGCAGGCGTCTTTCAGACACCTACCCTGCCTTGGTTCCTCAAAATAGATAGCCTAAGCTGTGACAAGTCACTTTCCAAAAGGGAATGAAACTACCACCATCCGGCCACCCCAACCAAAAATAGCCCTCATACTTAGGAGGATTGTTTGCCCCTGAGTGAGGGTTAAAAGTAACCCAGTACACGCTGGTGTACAATGGAAAACTAAAACAAAATAATGTTGACAATTTAAAGAAAAAGAAAAAAAGAAAAAAAAGGCGAACTCTACTTCATATAGGTGCGTTGTGCTCAGGGTAGATGTTCACTCTAATTTCACAGATTCTTTAGGCCCATTAATGTTTAATTCCTTCTAATTTGTTTTGACTACATGTATAGTACGTGCTTTGTACGAAATTTTACTGCACAGTATGCACCAATGTTTGAGCAAACTCTATTTTCCCTATTATCGATGACAGCAGTTAGGCACATCATGAACAGAGCTGTCCGCTCCTAGTTGCCTACAAGCCTATGTGGCATCTACTTGCTGGAAAGGTTGCGTTACAGCTCTGGTCCAGGGATTCATTATTTTGTAGATGTACGCTTTAAAAATTTTGTGAAAGAAATTATAGTGAAAAGAAAGCACCAAATGATTCTGTGGCACAAAATAGCTGAAAATCAACACTCATTCAAAACAGCCACTATCAGACTTTAGTTTATTCACTATTTACACTTTATTCATTAATGATTCATTAATTTACATTAATGACAGATACATTAAACATGGTAACCAAAATTTATATTTATGGATTCTACATGAGCGACTTTAAATGTTCACTTTTTTTCTCCGCTCTGTATTAAAGTAATCTGCAGGCATTGCACGACATGCAATAAAAGATCTGTATGTCTTTTAAATTTTGCCCTTTCATACTGATGGACTTGCTTCCCACAATTTTGTGGACTCATACTACCATTAGAGCGTGTTCAAAAGGTCTCTTGTAAGCTCAAAAACGGTACAATTTTAATATTTACAGCTTCCCAGTAGAATGTTCCGGCGTTACCAGGCAAAGTGAGCAAGCATGTGATGTAAGTAAAAAACAAAAATACTGCCTTGAACTACAAGGTATGTGCTAAGTTGGTACTAATTTGTGGATGTCTGGCATCAAATCCTTGTCGCTAGCTAAAACATCACTAAGAAATGGCTAAGTACCGCAAAACCGGAAAAATCCCAATCTATAGACTCTGTGTAGAGCAAGTTGAATCTTTTTTTTTTTCAAAATCCTTCAAAACTCGAGGTAATTTTTTTATTTCCTTTAATAAGAGAGAAAAAACGAACTCTGTTCAAGCAACCAAGCTAAGCGTTTGACAGGCTCAGGATGACTGATGAGAATCACTGCGTCAGATAGCTTTCATTGATAGAAATAGATAGAAATTCATAGAAATAGATGCTTAGTGTTAGAACCTTGGGAAGTATCTAGTCTGAGTAACAGTTGAAATATTTTTTATACTAAAGAACCTAACCACTTCTCATTCGATTTTAGCATGGCAGTGCTCCCTTGTGCTGTGCTATTCTGGAACTGCCAGCTTATTTGGGGGTATACAACACTCCCTTTGGTGGTCCATCTTTTTAAAAAGATATTTATATTTAAATTATTATTCATGGTAGGGGCTGGTAAAGTAGGGATCTACCTGAACAGTATTGAAAACGGAAGAAAGTAAATTTTTTAATTGGAAAAATGCATTGATATACCTGTTGCTCGATTGGGTCATTAATGGCAACATTTTTTCATCCTTCGTGTCAGAGATGAAAGCATGCTTAAAGAATGGATTATTTTTTACAGTAATCGAGGAACAGGAGAGACATAGAAACAGGGGAAATTAAAGCATATTGATAAAAAAGTTAAAAGTGAATCCTGAGCTGGGGCAACAATGTTTGAGCTAGCAAAATGGAGATTTTTATTATTAAGAAGTTAGTCGAAGAATAAAACTTGATAGAAATTGAGAAGTACACAACTGAAATATCATAGACACACGTGGAGAGGATGATGAGGCAGAAGTGAAAAGAACTAGAAGGAAGCTAAATTCTTTGACTCTAAAACCATGCTGGCTACTACAATCGGCTATTGATAACTTAATTATGAGAGTGTAAGGGTAAGAAGAAATCTGGGCAGAGGTGTGTTAGATGATGGAGTGAAAAGGTAAAAACCTGATCATTAAATTTGCATGAGTTAATAATTGGTATGATGAACTCGCGGAACATTTCAAAAGGAACAATTATCAGGTACTTTGTCCATGTTGATGCAAAAAAAAAATGTAGATACCAGAGTTCATGGACTGAGATGGCATTCTCATACAAGTTATGAGAATTTAGAAATTTCAAAACCTACACAAATTCCTTACTAAGAAATAATTTATTGCGTTTCCTGTACAAGATCAGGCGTTGCTGTTATAGTAAGTGTTTTTTTTTCACGCCAGTTGCTTTGAAAACAAAATTTACAGCTCTACTGCAGCGTAAAGACATACATCAACGCATTTTCATTGCTTCCAAAACTTTCATCATCTCAGGAATAAGTGCCAAATTATGAACTGTTTAATTAGATTACTACTTGTTGCTTTTGCAGGCTTGCTAGCTGACAAGGAGGTTGTTTCAAAAAAAACTTTTTTTAAAAACCTTTGCCGCTCGAGATTTCTGCTGCTAATGGAACTCAAGAACATGAGTATGGGTACAATTTTGGGCTCACACAATTCTATGTGGATCCCAAGCCCCCCTTCTTTCGAAAAATGGGCTGATTTTGAGAATTTCTCTTTCAAGCTGTGGATTTACATATCTAACATCTTTTTGGTGATTCTTCAGTTAAAATTCTCAATTTACCCGCATCTGATGAGAATAAAGTTGCCATTATTCTAAATTGAGAGCACTTGGAGAAGGGGGGGAGGGGCATAAGCTCATGAGAAAACCCGTGCAAATTTCTGTTTTTTTTTCCCCCCCCTATTTCTTTTCTCTTGGTCGAAAATTTTTAATGTTTAAAAATCATTCTTTTTAAGTAGTATTCAAGCGGGAAATAAGAATGTATCCCTCCTCAGAAAAGGCCCCCGAGGTAGAAAGGGGGGGGGGGAACTTTGAAACTTCTTGACCAAGGGAAAAGAAATACGAAAGAAAAGAAAAACAGATTTGCACAGGTTTTCTCATGAGCTTATGACCACCCCCCTAGGGTGTGTCAAAAAAAATGAAAGTCTGAAATGTTCCGCTCCCCAGGCGGCAATCGATGACGTTTGGTAAAAAAAAAAGTTTGCCAAAATTTGGGCCCATTTCAACCATTTTAAATGGTGCCAAAGGTCGGTTTTGTGATGAAATTATAATATTTAGGTTTAGACCTCGATTTTGGACAAACAGCTTGATTATACGCTGAAATGGTTGCAGGAGGTTGCATTTTCTTACATATTAATCGAAGGAACGATAAAAACAAGGAAAATAGAGACACTTGACTTTCCTTGTTCTGTCGGTGACTATTTAAGAAAATGCAACCTCCTGCCCTTCACATTTGGCTGCCATCTTTGATTTGGAGCGCCCCCTTTGACCAGGGGGGCCTTGTGGAGTTCATTTATGAAATCTACGATCAAAATTACATAGGAAATGATATCTAACATGAGACAGACTGAGCATTTTAAAGTACCGATTTCCCGGACCCCCTAATTACGGCCGCCATTTTCGACTTTAAGTGCTTTGAAGGGTGTCCCAGGGTCGGACCATTTTTAACTTTTAGGAAGTTGTTCAGGGGAACCTACTGATGACGATTACATAGGGAAAGTTCGTTACGCAATTTTTCCCGGTCAAACCGCACTTCTCCCTTACTATTATAGCACGATCCTGCTTCTCGAGCCGTACACTTTTTGGAGGATTGTGCAAAATAGTTGGAACTCTTTTTGAAACTGAGGAAGTTCTGATGACATTTGCATCCTCAACACTTGCCTACAGTTCATTTATACCCTCTTCCGACTTATTTTTGTGAAGAATGAGTCTTCGCTACTTTGTAAGACCTTGGAAATTCCGAGGACCAAAAAAATAAGTACCGAGGTGAGTTTTTCTAGTTAAATTTGATTTATGTTGTTTACAAAGACGTTTTCCTAGAGTAAAATTTCATCCTCTACAACTTGAGTTCTTTGGCATTTCTCTCGTAAACGCACGATTTCAGCGTAAAATCGAGCTGTTTGTCCAAAATCGAGGTCTAAACCTAAATATTATAATTTCATCACAAAACCGACCTTTGACACCATTTAAAATGGTTGAAATGGGGCCCAAATTTTGGCAAACATGTTGTTTTACCAAACGTCGTCGATTGCCGCCTGGGGAGCGGAACATTTCAGACTTTCATTTTTATTGACGCACCCTACCACCCCCCCCCCCAACTTT